ATTGTTCATTAAGACTTAAATGTTTAAGATTCTTACAAGTTAATCTGAAAAAAAAAAACAAAAAAGAGTTAATTCACGCGTACATGATTTGGAACGAAGAAAAGAGGTACTTATCTGCATTCCCAAAATCAACTCAAGAATTCAAGACCCAAAGTAGAATTCTTTTACTACTACGTCTATCGTCTTAGATTTAAGATCGGCACTAATATGTAGAGGTCAGTATTATTTGATTGAAAATTGTTCATTAAGACTTAAACGTTTAAGATTCTTACTAGTTAAGCTGAAAAAAAAAAACCAAAAAAGAGTTAATTTACATGTACACGATTTGGAACGAAGAAAAGAGGTACTTATCTGTATTCCCAAAATCGACTTAACCCAAAGTAGAATTCTTTTACTACTACGTCTATCGTCTTAGATTTAAGATCGTCACTAATATTGTAGAGGTCGGTATTATTTGATTGAAATTGTTCATTAAGACTTAAATGTTTAAGATTCTTACAAGTTAATCTGAAAAAAAAAAACAAAAAAGAGTTAATTCACATGTACACGATTTGGAACGAAGAGAAGAGATACTTATCTGCAACATTCCCAAAATCGACTCAAGAACTCAAGACCCAAAGTAGAATTCTTATAAAGGATCTTTACTACTTCTTAGATTTAAGATCATCACTGAAATTGTTCTCGTAGAGATTTTCAGGTACGGTATTACCAAAAAGCGGCCTCAAAGTACAGTGACGTAGGGTGGTTGATCTAATTTAGGCTGATGATCTTCAAAACTCTAATTTGACCAGAAATTAATTTTTTGATTTTTTTTTTTGAATCCAATGTTTCTTTTGAGGGCCGCCCTAAATTTAATGGTAGAATTCAAAAAGGAAACTTCAACAGTGAAATGATCAGCAGTAATTGTTGAAATTTCCTTTTGTAAATTCTACTGCCAATTATAGCTTTGAATAATTCGACTAAATTAATGCATATACAAAAAAATCGAATACGTAAGAGTGTATAGTAAATTCTATGTTCTTTAATATAAAAAACTAGGTCAACCCACCTGTGTTCAACCATTCGTGCCAAGTAATCATAAATTTGTAAAAAACACTAGATAACACTAATGATACCCCATAAAAGTTAAATATTGGATATTTAAGTGAATAACCATTACATATATTCTATATACTATGGTAATACTATAATGTTCATATTAAGTATCTATTAAAAGATCATTACATATTTATTGAAAAAAATAATTACAAAATGATTTGTTAAACCATCTTTTCTCTAATTACTTTTTTTTTTTTGAACATTTAGGCCTATAATGTCCGTACTCGCCACAATTCCCACATTGGTTTTGACGTTTGGCCGGCTTTAATTCCTCTGATCGCTTGATTCGTTTAGAACTTTTTGGTCGTCCTTTCGCCTTACGTTTTTTTGGATTTTGAAGAGGTATATCAGATAATGAATTAGTTTCTTCATATTCTTCATTATCGTCTAAGCTATTACTGTACATCTCCTCATTATCATCATTGGCTGGGCTGTTTACTAACTCTTCTTCCTGTATTTCAGTTAATAAATTTTGTAGCTTTTCAAGAACATCTTGTCTATGAAGTTGAACTGCCTTTTGCGTGATATTTCGTGCAACTCCCCATAATTCTCCATATAGCTTTCGTTCATTAATGTTTTCCTTTCTTTTGTCCCGGAGATCAGCCGGTGTAAACAATCTATTTATGTTAGACCTTGTGAATTCTGTAGGTTGATCTTGAGAAAAGTTCTTACTAAAACGTGTGGCAACATAATAAGGCTCTTCCTGTAAATCGCCATGAATGTCCTTGTACCATCTTTTATGAATATATGTAATATGGAATGCAGCTACATGACTACATAGCATCACCTGAAAAAAGTGACGGCAAACTACCCCACGATTTACAAGCCCCAAACAAGAGCATACATAAGTCTTATCAGAAAGAAGGACAACAAAATGACAAAATGTCGAAGCTATAATTATACGGATGGCCCAGATTTCCTCTATTTCGTTGATGTCTATATTTTCCAATATATACTTAATTGAAATTTGCATAATATCTTCGTCATCTTCTACAAACGAGATATTATCTGACTCGGGCTTAAATAGAATAAGATTCTGTAAGTTCAGTATTATTTTGCAACATTATCCCTAAAAAACAATACCGTATTTTCGCGAAATAACGCTCCTGCGCGTTATTTCGCGAAAATACAGTTATAGTACATACCTCTTGATATTTAATCATTTCATCTTTTGTGATAGCAGATGCATGATAATTTAGGCAACTTTTAATTTCAGCACGCTGAATTTTTTGTATTTCAGGCGTAATAAACCGACTCAAAGCTTTATCGAGTTCGGGAAATAATGTTTGCGGTAATGTAGCGGCAGACGATGTCAATGGAATTTGTGTCTTCCAATAAGCATACTTTGCTTTTTTAATCTCCTCTTCTATACTTGCTTCCAAGGCTTCAGCAAGTTCGAGTAGGCTAATATTAGAGTTTAAAACCAGCCTTTTGACCTGAGCGTTGTAACTCTCAACGCGAGACGTTGATTGTATGCCGGCGGTGAAGATCTTTGTGGTGTAAGCACGTACCCATGCTTTTTTTGAAGAATATAATGTTTTTAGATACTTTACAACTCTAGGCTCATTATATTTCTTAATTAACTGTTTCCATTTTTGTTCAAAAACTTCCGGAACAAGAGAATTTCTAGCGGTGTAAAAATCTTGAACAAACTCCTGATACTGTTGACCCAACTTAGCCTCGAGATTTCGAGGAAGGTTTTGTGATATATGGAATATACAATGCATGGCATAAGATTGTTCATACTCCTCGGAGATTGCAAGATCCAAAGCCGGATCAGCATCGGTCATAATAACAGCAGGTACATAGCCTCCAGTGGCCTGTTTTGTCTGACGTAAAACCCACCGATACGAATCTGCTGACTCATCGTTCATAAGCGCACATCCAACTAGTCGGGAAGACCCGTGATTGTCAACACATAAGAAAAGTGTGAGGGCCATATCGTATCGGTTTGTTTTTGCGGTATTATCGCTAAGTATAATATCACAATACTCTATCCAAAGGATGATCTGATCGGGAGACATCCAAAATAGCTTTTGAAGGCTATGTGATTCTCGGTCCCACTCAATTGCAACATACCATCGAGGATCTTCATTTTTTCTTCTTACTAATTCTTCGTACAATGATGCAGCATCATTTAACATATCCTTTCGTTTCCCACTATAATATTTTGCTGTTGCTTTATGAATTTCAGAAAGGTAAACTTCGTGGTCAGGAAATTCTTTCCGTAAAGCCCTCTGAATTTGTAGCGGCTTTAACTTAACAGTATTCACATAAAATTCTACCCTATCATACATTTCTTGGGTAAATTCACTATCATTAAAAAATTTTGTTCTATAAGGGGACAAGTCATGATTATGGCTATTGTCTAAAGTGGTAATATAAACATTTCCATTAGGATTATTCTTCTGCGGTTGTGACAAATTTACATGCCACGGACATTTGATATATTTTGTGCTTGTTTCTTTAGTCAATTGCGTGTTTTTAGGTTTATATTCGCCGCTGTGTTCACACAACATTGTTCTTTTTCGTATAGTTCCATTAGAAGTCTTTTCAACACGTCCTTTCCTTAGCTTAAACCCTTCATATTGAGAATATAGTTCTAACGTGTCAAATGCTTCTTCCCAACTTTTAAATACCATTCCTTCGTATAACTTCTCTTTGGAACAGTCCAATCCGACATCTTTATTTTCTTGAACAACAACTACTGAATCATACGTTGGTCCATTAAATTCAAGATCATATATCGGCTCATCAGACTCAAGACCGTGTGTTGATTCACCAAACTCAAGATTACTGAGGTCTTTGAAATTGGATGTACTTTCATTATGCGCCATCTATTTTTTGGATTAAAAGATGTAAGTATAAGGAATAAGATACTATCGCAAATCCTCTAGCATTACCAACCTAAAAAACTTCGCTAAGCGAAATTTTTCTAGGTTGGCGATGCTAGAGTCATAATCAATATATTCGGATTAAATTAAGAGGTTTAAACATTACCTCGTTTTTAAAACCCACGTTGTTTTGTTATTATGCTTTGCTCGTCACTATTCTTTGCTATTACTGGTTTTTATTGCAGTTGCTAGGATTGTGTTTTTTTTTTTTTTTTTTTTTGGATTGTGTTTTTATTACTAGATAGCAGAGAGAATTTATTTTACTGCCAGGAATATCTTTGTTCTGGTTATCGGCTATATTTTGTAAGCGTATTTGATTCAAAATTAAAGGTACTAAATTAAAAGTATAAGCTAAAAGTAGCGGTAACAAGTTAAAGGTAGTAAGTTAGTTAAAGGTAGTAAGTTAGTTAAAGGTAGTAAGTAAGTTAAAGGTAGTAAGTAAGTTAAAGGAAGTTAAAGGTAGTAAGTTAAAGGTAGTATATAAGTAAGTTAAAGGTAGTAAGTTAAAGGTAGTATATAAGTAAGTTAAAGGTAGTAAATTAAAGGTAGCGACAGTAAGTTGGCTAATTCTTACCAAGTTTATTAAAGCTAAAGAGCGTTAAAGAGTAGTAAGTTAAAGGTAATACCGTTAAGTTAAATAAAGATCTTTTATTAATGTTAGGCGTGAAAAATACCAGTTAGAAGCTCTTTGTTCGTTGTCGCTTTTGCTAAATAAAAACAACAGATATGCAAGATATAAAGATAAGAACTCAAAATAAAAAAATTTGGGGGCACAAAGAAAAAAAATTCTGAGATCCTGCGGTTATGTGTCGGCGTATTGCAAAAATATCCGGCGATCTGGGGGATGCATGATCGTGCAGATGCACGAAAAACATTTTCCCTATTTTTATTAATTTAATTGTTTGTGTAATATTAATAAAATTTATCAGATTATACATTTATAAGTATTTTTGTTGTTTAGATTTAAACGATGTTTAAATACGTTGTATTAAATGCTGTTTAAAATGGGAGACCGAACACTTTCATACTCCGCCTATTTCTTTAGCAGAGGACTGCTTTTAAAATTGGCAAACGCCATCGTATATGCAGCATTTGGTCGCTATCGCTCCCATGCTTTGTATTGACGTTTTTCCCAATTTTTGGATT